AATGACAAACCACATCATGACTAGGAAATCTGTATAATGAAAAACAAAGCATATTGCAATATCCATATATATGTTTATACATGGAACATTCAACTAGCTGCAACTATTCATGCTGAAGTAGTACATACAAAATATAATACACACATAAAATTACCAGCATTCCAAATAATAATTTGTAGAATGTTGTAACGAGACCAATGAATCCATGAAAACTCCGTGACACACAGGATAATATCCTAAATATGTTCCTTTTGGCCAAGACGACAATCAAAGAGAATGAGGAACAAATGCAGCAAGACGTCTGCTTGTAACCCCATCTTCGACTTTTCCCTGGGCTCTGGCAATGTAATCATTACCCTAAACCTACAAAATAATCTTTTAATAATCCTAGCCAGAGATTATATATTTTATACATTTCGAGGCTGGGGTACTGAAAAGTAATTCTACCAAAACTGTTACAAAGACAAAATCTTTCTTTTTTATCATTTAAAAACTGAGATATCTTTCAATAAAGTATTTGTACATATCAGATTATAGGTTCTGGGGCTTGAAACCAAACGAAACTATACATATTGTAGGATTCCTGCAGCAGAACTCAAAGAAGCACACAATGAAGCCTGAAAACCATTCAGACCCACAGCTTTTGTTTTCTGCAGGTCCTTATGGCCGACAACTTTTTCATCCCCAATAACTAAGAGTACTATTTCCATATTAAAAGATAGGGCCTACACATTCTGATCAGGACCCACAACTTATTAGGGTTCTGGGTCCTTAGGGCCTGCAGCTTTTCAGAGTTAAGGGCAAACACTGGATAGGGATAATCTGATGGTAAACTGATTACTTGAAGATGTTGTCATACTAATAGTATTCAACACTGACTTGAAATAGACACATTTGTTTATTTTCCTTCAAGTAAAAAATAACACAAGTAAACAACTCCTTAACTTGTCCTTAATTTCAGAACTTTCCAGAGGAATTTAAAATTCCAATACAGAGTGCAATATCATATCTTCCCTATGTTCGTCATTCCAGAAGACTTTAGATGATCATTATCCAACCAAATATCAATACATCCATGAAAGATAACATAGTAAGGCAATATATACAAATATCAAAAGACTCCATTGATATGCAATACATGTATGTAATTTTAAGTAAAATTTTCCCCAAGTCAATACTGGTTTGTAGCTGATTACAAATTTTCTAAGTAAACACCATCGTTGAACAAAGAAACCTAAGATCGTGCCCACACAATATACTGAAATGATTCACACATGCATGTATGGGTAGATAGGTATGTTACATGCTGAAAGAACTCTTTTCCATCAGGCATGGGGAAGGAAGATATGTTTTCTTTTAAATTTTTTTTTAGTAAAATTCATAATGTTTTATATGCCATGAGAGCAAGCGACTATGGTTTTGTGCCACTTTTAGCAACATGCCAGCAATATCATCATGGAGGACACCATTGGAAACAATTGTACCAATGGGGGAATCAAACCTGTCTTTGCATGACAAGCAAACGCATCAACCACTAGGCCGTAGCAGCACCTTTCATATATCATGAAAGCACTATGTATGATACCTTGTAGTAGAGAGTGAGTGAGTGAGTTTAGTTTTAAGCCTTTTTAACAATATTCCAGCAATATCGCAATGGGGGAAACCGGAAATGGACAATGTACCCATGTGGGTAATCGAACCCGGGCCTTCGGTGTGACGAGCGAACGCCTTCACCACTAGGCTTCCCCACAGCCCCATACCTTGTAGTATATAACAAAATATGTGAGGATAGAAATTTAGAAGATGGTTGGACTACCGTTGGTTTATGTATGATTAATCACTGCCAAAAGCTAATACTCCCTTCACTGGGGATAAACCCTCATGGCTCTGTGGAACCCATACAGAACCCGCAATGTTGGAGATAGAAACAAGACACGAAGATCTCAGCTCCATGTTTCTGTCATTAACATGTAACAGGAAGGATCTGGCTTGGCTGTAGAACATACACCAGGCCTATTTTCAAATCTAGAAGCCATATATTTACACACTTCCTTTATGACGTTTCCCTAACCACTGTTAGGACTAAGAGACTTCTTCCTTCCCTTATTGTCAAACACTGACTCACACTCTTTTTGTTTGTTTGTTTGTTTGTTTGTTTGTTTGATTGTGACTTACTCAATCCAAACATCAACTGTAAAGTTCAGTCAACTCCCAAATACTGAAAGACATTGATGCATATCATATGAACACAAACCTAATCTGTGGTAGTATTAATGGCTAATCTGGGTATAATGAATCATGTACACAAATACACTCAGATCTAGCCAAATTATTACACTAAGTTGATATTTCTAATAAGCCATAAAAGTTGTGCAGAAAATTATATAATTGCAGTGACAATGTAGTGCTCCAAAACATTGGTCGAATATAAGGCATGTTTTGGGTTTATGGATAAAGTGACCCAAATTTTCGGCAAGGTTGAATTAAAAACACACACAAAATGTATGTTTTAAGGAATGAAAACTTCAAGATAGTGGAAGGGAAGTAACAGTAGAACATATAATTAAAAAACAAACCTTAAAAATACCTAGTTTTCCAACCTTATTGTTTGGGGGTAAAATAATACTGAGACCTCAGTTCAAGAAATAAGGTCCAAGAATTTATTATTCAGTCTAACATTTAACTAACCAGAAAATAATTGGAATCAGTCTTCAGTAAATTATCATCTTTAACTAACTACAACAGCACCAACATACACAAACATACATATCACAAATATCAACAGTATTGCAAAACGATGATCAAGAACAAACTGAAAAGAGAAAGGCCTGAGACACAGGCATATACAATATCATATACATAGACATTACATCATATACACACAAAATTCAAAAGAAACTTCAAGCACAACATTTACCAGAAGCATAAGTACTGATGTACAACAATCACAGAGTCGTAGATACTGAAAAGCACGATGATGGGATATAAATCCATGATAAAGATACTTCAACACATCAACAAATATTGTGGTGACAAGGCAACAAAATATCTATGCAGTAGATACGAATGAGTAACAAGGCAAATAATTCTGTTTTTAACAGTGATAAAACATCTCAATATTCCATATATGCAAATCAAAACTGGAATGGCGCAACATTGATTTGTTTCAAAAGGCGACATGTAAGATGACAAGCCTGTTAAATGAGGCTGAAATCTCTATCCTTGGGTCTTGTCACAATACTATCAAGGCTACATCGAAGGCCACTTCCTTGGATCTGACTTTTAATGACATTGTACAGTGTAAACGTTTGAGACAGACATGACATCATTCCAGAATGCTATGACAACATCATACAAAGGATGACATCATAAGTTTCCATGACAATTGAACCCATAAGTTTTGCTGGATTGGGAAAATACAATATAAATTGAACTTGTTCTGCTGAACAAATGATCATAAATAATTACTTCATAATTAATGTGGCATCCATTTTGAAAAGCATTGGGCTGAGAAAATAAATACTTTTCAAGGAAAGTATTCGTATGCAGTGATAAATCCAAAGATTTCCTGGATCCAATCCCATTTAATGATGTGTTTCACCACAGACACTCTCCTGTTCATTTCACAATGTTGTTCAACACGATAAAGTGAACTGATGATATGACGAAGCTTTCAGTAAACCACACAATCTGCTTCATTGTTGCTGACAGATCAAATCTGAACCCCACATGCGCAAATACTTACTATGTGAAAATAAAAATGAATCCCATCATCATGTTATCAATAAAAAAACCAAAAACAATATCAATATTCAGAAAGGATGGTGTCATACATTTTGTATAAATGACAGTCATTATTGTAGTTTTGAAGCATAAACACTTTACAGTTGGTTCACAAGACCAACCAACAGAAAGAAACGGAAATTTGGAAGAAAACAAATGAGGCTTTCCATTGGTTTCTTTTAGCCAACTCTGTGTTACAAGTATGTGAAATGGAAACAATGCACGTATTACGTAAGTTTCTTTTGTGAAGAAAACTTTACCATAACAGCAAAACATCTTTTTGGCACCTTGCAATGTTAAGACTGATTTGTTTGTCAAATTCAGAAGTCATTCAGAAATAGGAAGTTGACAAATTTCAATTACCAGGTAATACCGCCGGTACTTTTTAACCACCCAAGTATTACCACGATGTAGACAAACTAATAAATATGAAACACCTTGTAGTAAATCACAAACATATTTAGCAGTAAATAAGTAAGTAAATAAATTCATGCCAACAGTACTTTACATAGACCAGTCCACACTGCCATTTATTAAGGTAGCTCGGGTCAATTGTCATTACAAGACAACTACATAACTCACAGTTTTGTGAAGCAGCATGATTAAAGAACAACACAACAATTTTCCATTATATCTATTACAGCATGGCCATGTGATACTTGCTGATTAATTTGTCTGCTTCAAATGTGACATAAAATGGGTATATCACACAAAAGCATGATACATATCTACAATGCAATTCTTAAGAATTCTTACAATTATGAGCCTTAACTTCTAACATTCAAACAGGTTTAAATAAAAATATTCATGACTTGTTACCATGGATACTAAATAAACATGTCACTGGATACTATGGAAAATTATTAGTTGGCAATGGTTCAAAACTATTCCATAACAGTTGTCCAAGACACAAATAATGAATTATAACAGTGTGAAATAAAACCAAACATCCCCCCTGCTCATAATCACCACATTAACTATGTCAGTATAAGGCCAGACTAATTTCATTTCTTGTTATACGGATCCGCCTGTCATATTTTTTCAGGAATAAGAAAAATAAATTAATTAATTTTCCCCGCTAAAAAATAAAATCCTAATGTTTTTATTGGCCAAAAATGTAAACTTACAAAAAAAGTTTGTTTAAGATTATTCTTTGCCCCATATACACTTCATAAATTGCCAAAAGTAAAATACTTTGACTATTTAGAAGGAATATTACTTTGACTGGTGATTATATTTTTATTTTTTTGCCTCCTGCCTTTAGGTTTTCTGAGGACAAAAACACATAAAACAAGAAATAAAATTGGTCTGGCCTAAGTGTATCAAAAACATGCACCTGTTTTCATAACCACTGTTTCCAAGGAAACCATTCCATGCTTCAACACCCCAAAACAACAATATCCTAAACCATTCAGTCCAAGTGATGAAGCATAACATGTGATCACATCTGCAGGTGACCAGTCCTTGACAGTATCCAGAAACGGTCAGCAGTTCTAAGGACCATAAAATATTAGTCATGTTGGATCTCTGATAATCCTGGTTCTGTTAGTCCTGATTACTTTATATCAACTCTCAATTCCAGTCAGTGAAGTAATCAACACCAACACACAGGGCACTTGTCTGTTAGTCGGAGACTAACAAAAGTTTTGCAGGATTATTTTCTTCTCCCAAAATGTCAGTTGACACAACCACAAGGTCAGAATGAGTTTTGAAAGTCTGATATGACTGTTTATGTCTGAACCGTGAACTGTGCACCCAAGACAATGCTACCTTAACCCTTTTATGTCACTCCACTGTTCCTTGAGGAAATTAACTAGATTGGGACCAGCATTTGGGTAAAAAATTTGACTATTTTCTTCTCCCAAAATGTAGTCAGTTGACTCAACCACAAGTTCAGAATAAGTTTTGAAATAGTCTGGTATGACAGTTTATGTCTAAACCCTGAACAGTGTACCTAACACAATGTTACCAGTACCCCTTTTATGTCACTCCACTGTTCCTTGAGAACATTTACTAGACTGGGACCAGTATTTGGGTGAAACACTAGCAACAATTGCAGACATATTGACAACCAGGTAGCAAACACCTTCATTGGTGATACTTAATGTTGATACATATCATTTAAGAGAATGTTACCATGAATACAAGATGTTAATGTTTATCTGACATGCTTGACCATATGAAAAGCAATGGGCCATAGTACATCAAAACCGAATATTTAAGATACACAAGATATTAATATCAGAAGCAAATGGATAGATATTTTCCCAGTGTCCATCAGAACATTTGAGGTATCAAATGGGTTTGAAAATATACAGTGAAATTTGATCCAGGTCAGCAGTCTGTTAAAAAAAAGCCCACACCTTGGGATTCTACTAGACTAAACTAGTAAGTGTAATTCCATATATAACACATGATAGAGCGAACTGGGCTCTTAGCATCATTTTCATCACGTTTGCTTTATCATATGGTATTGTTTAAGCTGGCCTTAATATACCAAACATAAACTCAAGACTAGTTACTTCAGTCATAGATTGTGTAAGGTTCTATGTGGAAAAGCAGGCTAAATACAATCAAGATTGTTGTACAACCATATATACCCATTGACCCAAGGCTAAATAAAAAGAAATAATTTCTGTTTAACCAAATAACTGATATCTGATTGAAAGCTCATTGCAACAGTTTCTTTCAGGCTTAATCAATAACACCTTGTTCATCATGTTCATGCCATCGGTTCTGTGTCTCATGTTCACCCTATTCTGAAGAATTACTTAATGGAACAAAAACATGACAAATAAAATTCATATTTTTTCTACTGGAACCTTTTCCCGGTAACACCAGTACTTTAACTGAATTGACTAGGTAACTACAAGTGTATACATACATCATATCATTTGTATCATGATGTAGAGACTTATCTTTACAGCACTACCATTAAAGTCTGAATACTACCCTGCCCAAGATAACAGGCCCACTTCTCAGTTGATAACTGTCTACAGAAGGAATTCTCTCACCCTTTGACTTGTATCCATGTTGTATCCGTACACCACTACCACTTATGTATTTTACTGTCCTGTATTAGTACCTCTTTGTCTATTTTGTATCATCTACAATGAACTAATTAGTACTGTTTCATTCATGTTGCAACCTGACACCCCTACCATTAATATATTAGTCCTGCCCATGTTAACATGCACAGTTCTCTGCCTTATCCTCAAACGAGGCATGTGTTGCAGACTGCAGGCCCCGATGTTGTGGGCTGCCTCTGAGATTGATCACCTCAGACTGGGCAGGCTCTCCAGGGGTGTAGCGGGCAAGATGGGGTGGCATCATGGGCTTTGAGTTCTTTAGTTTGTGAGCAATTGTCATAAAGATTGCATCCACATGATTTGCTTTCTCATCATCTTTAGCTGACGTTTCAAACAGCGGCATATTATGGGAATCTGCAAATTTCTGTGCCAAGTTTGTGTTGACTGCAATCTTATCTTTCATGTCACATTTATTCCCGACAAATATTCGTGGAATATCTTTGTTGAGATTGTGGCGATCACATTCTTCAATCCATCCAGGCATGTTCTCAAAGGAGCTCATTTTTGTGACATCATAGACAAATACAACTGCATGAACATTTCTGTAATAATGCTGAACCATACTCTTCCGGAATCTTTCCTGACCAGCAGTATCCCACAGTTGGAGCTGCAAAATAAAGTCATAAATGATCTACACTGATTACATCAAATACAAATTTCACAAACCTAGACATTAACTTTTTATTTAGATTGTGATGTAGTTTCATAATTTGCAATGTTTTTATTTCAAAATAAAAATGCAATGTTATTAGAACATAAATAATAAAAATATGCATCTAAACAAATCTACAATTTGCCTGTCATGAAAGGTCCGGAAAATCATAAATCCCTCTTCAAATCATTAAGTGAATTTTTATATATATCATGGGACCCTCTATTATCGCGGTAGTTAATGTTATCGCCATCGGGATTATGAATGGCTACTGACATTTAGCATTTTATATATATTTTCAGTTGACTGATGTTTAATCTTCATTTCTGTCATAAATAATGTGACACATAGTTGCAACTCGTTTAATACCATTGTGGCAATTCCGATTACCTCGTTTGACCCGGAAATTGAAGCAACTCTCAATAATCGCGGTATTGCTATTTTCTTACTATGGCACGCGGTACAAGCAGATGACACTGTGAAACGTTTACTGAGACAAGTAACGAATCTAAATAGTTTGATCATTAAAAAAATATTTTGGAATTTCATTCACATTAGTAATATCATCATGTTTTTAACCCAAACATCTGAAACTTCTATTCATTTGGATACAAGGTAACAATAATGTTACAAAATATTGCTTTTCCGCCTTAAAACGTACCATACAAGTTGCTGCCGTGTGTAGAGTGAAGTTGCATAATATGTCACTTCCTATTATATTTTTAACATGGAAAATATGCAAATGACCTCATAGTTGTTGCAGGATTACACTTGACTAAGTAAGTTTTGATTCATGCTAGATGTAATGGCACTAGGGATACTAGTTTCAAAATGTTCTAGAACTTACTGAAAAGATGAATGCTTTACTATTTCTAGGACTAGACATGACATTCCAATGAAATAAATGACTTTTTCAAGAGCGATGAATATATTTTACGTAATTTGCGTATGTATACAGCCGATGCGGGGCGTGGTGTTTCTGCTTTCCTGATGTTTTCATGTGCCGTGATAATAGAGAGTCCCAGTATACTGGTTTCCGGGAGGGCAGATACAAAATAATAGCAGCTGACATTCCCTAGTCTACTAGAATGTATTTGTGTCAATATTGTAAGATGTTTACCACCTCTTCACAAAGTGTGTTAATACACTCATGGTGACTCACTTATACAAATATATTACAACTCGGTATTTTTATCTCAATCCTGAGTAACTCGGTACTGTGTTTTACTGGTTTGTTGATGTGTGAAATGATTGAAACATGATATTAGCAAGCATACGCAAAATCAACTCTTATTTCTACAAACGAAATATGTTATCACATTTTTAGTTTTCCCAAAATAGCAGCCGCGTAATAATGTTGACATTAAAGGCCATAAGCCTATCACGGATATAAATTCGATGGGCTGTACCTTAACTTGCTCTTTGTCTATGTTGACCTGTTTTTCTCTAAAATCAACACCAATAGTTGCTTCAGTCTTGTCTGGGAATTTACCGCTACAGAATCGGTATGTCAGACAGGTCTTTCCAACATTCGAGTCTCCAATTACAATTATCTTGAAGATTCTTCTTTGTGACTGTTTCTCAATAACTTTGACAGAGCCAGTACCCATCACTTCAGCTGTTTGAGGCTCAGTGACAGCTTTGTCAGTTGTTTTCCGCTCTGAAGTCATATTTGAATAGAAGTTATTTACCATAAACAACAATGCCTTAAACTAAAAGAAGGGATGCTCAAGCTGAGAGTCCACTTAATCAACACAACTCCTCATATTACGACAGACTTCCACTGTAGGCGGCCATCTTTGTTGTCGTAGTCGAAATCGTATGGGCTTATGGGAGTGATATTTATTTTTTAAACGTTTCTATAACATAGTAAAATTTGTTTCATTTGCATTTGTAAGTAATACAAAAAGGTATTTTTAATTTAAGTATATAAAATTTTATAATTTACTAAATCACGTACATCCGTCACTTGTCTTGAGCATTAGATTCCGCCATACTGGAATTTGCACCTCGTGGTGCTCGCACTTGTTAAAGTCAAACTCACCTGGAATCTAGCGTACTCCAGGATAAATTTATCAAAATGCCAACAAGTAACCCATTACCCCCAAAAGAGAATGCTCTGTTCAAAAGAATATTGGTATGTATCGTACTCCATAATTTTGCGAGGGCGTGGGTTGGGGATTTGTTGCAGTGAGCATGAACATGTTGAAGACTCTTGTATTTCAGGTTGTTTAGTTACCGATCACGCAACTTTGAGCGATTGTAATGGAAATGTATTGTCGCTGTCAAAAGTACGACATTGAATTGTTACATTCAAGAGTCTGAGACAACTCTTCAGACACAAGTAGCGGTCGCTGACACAAAACACAAGCGCGATCTGACCTAGGCCATAACATTCAACCTGTCTCTAGGGGTCTATCGTTCTAGCATTCTAGGATGCTCTCCTATCTCTCTGGCAACTTCTGAGCGCTGGCTGTGCGATTCTACTAATGTATAGTATGTAGTATTTTTGACAATGACAAGATTAGAAATAATCTGTTCATTGAAACTTGAATGTATTTTGATGAAATTAGGAAAGGAGCCAAAGGAAGTATTATGTGATACTTTGTAAGATCAATGTTTGACATTGTTGAGGCTGATAAAGTACAGTATAAGTTTATATCTTGCAATAGGTTGGAAATGTGTGGCTAAACAGCATTAGCCATTCATGCTTTAGCAGATTTGTTATGAATACACACGTAGGTAAGTCGAATGTATTTATTAGTTTAGTAGGGTAGGAGGATTCACCTTGGTGCAGCATGAAGTTTACATAATTCTGTGTTATTGAAACTGTATAATGCGGTTTACGGTTTATTGATGTCTCATCAATATCCTGAAACAATATGATGCATACTCACCCGTATTAACTCATGTATCAAGCACATATTGTTTCTAACATGGACCTTTTCATTCATATTCTTTTTATTCAGTTGCACATCTGAGGTATTTCACAAACACAGAATTTGCTTTTGTATTTAATGACAGAAAATATTGCACACATTTTCACTGAATGTATTTTTGATGAAATGATAATTGTTTTCAAACTTGAAATGAGATTTTCAGAACTCTTAATAGAGGTAGTGCCATTGAAATGTGAAAAATGTACACAAAATCAACACAAATTAAGTATCACAATATATGTGGTGTCGTGAACTTAGTATGTCATATCAGGAGATAGCCCCAGTGGATGCAAAAAGTGTATGGATTTTGGAATAATCAAAACTGGTTAAATGAAGCATGTTTAAATAATATTTCAGTTCCGATAATAAATATTTGCACATGAATCATATTTTCTACACACATGGAATGGCCAAGTACACCAGATGTTAGGCATCACATGGATTTTGCATTATATTTGCTATAGGTACAATAGTCCCCAAGTGCACCCAATATTAACACTAAGGACCCTAAGACATTTTATCCAAACAAACATGTAGCCCCAGGTAAATCACTGAACATGTCTAGTTGAACTATTTTGTTATATATAGGATATATCAGTGCCATACTAAAATTAATTAGTTTGTGTAATTTTCAGTTTATGTCCAGGGATAGAAGTGCAATTTCTGTATGAAGATGCCATAGAGCACAAGACAGATAATTTAAGTGTGCCCTTGGGAAAATTAGTGTGCCCATAATTTTGATGATTCAGTTATTTAAATTTATTGTTTACCTGTGAAGATCCGATTTGGAATTGGACTTCAGTAACCCATGTTTATCATAAGAGGCAACTAACGGGATCAGGTGGTGAGGCTCACTGACTTGGTTGACACATTTGTGTAGATCGATGCTCATGCTGTTGATCACTGGATTGTCTGGTCCAGACTTGATTATTTACAGATCACTGCCATATAGCTGGAATATTGCTGAGAGCGGCATTAATAACAACCAAACCAAACCAAACCAAACCAATTTTTGTTGAATAAATCTTTAATCATCATGTAAACCTGTAAACTTGAGAGATAGCATTCCTGAACTGTTGAATACTATCATGACTGCAGGAATAGTTCTGCTTTATTGGTTGTGGACCCTTAAACTAACCCAGAAGCTGTTATCATTCAAAACAGGATTTCCTGTCACACACTGGCATTCAAAATGGCCATGAACTGCTCATATATATCACATTTTTCATTGAATGGATCATGTTGTGTATTATTTTTATGATTTGAGCCGCGCCGCCAGGGCGCATTAAGATATTTCACCCATGCCATTTCAATATTTACCTTGCCGTGCCATGCAAATTAAACAGGTTTGATCCCTGATATCTCAATATGAATGATCCTAACTTATATGTTATCTTTTGACATAGACTATTATTCGTGAAGATAGATCTAGTCTGCAAATTTGTTATGTTTGATCCTGTTTGGAACAAAATAACTAGTTAATTTTTTGTTCCCCTACAAGAAAGAAATAATATTTAACAGAAGGATAGATGAATATGGGAATGTAAACATTCAAAACTATCGTCTTTTCCTGAAAGCAAATTTTCTGAAGAAATTCCTGTAAAATGTAGTTTTTTTGTGTAACTTTTGAACCCTGATATGCTTACAGTTGCAAGATGTCTGTTGAGGAGTCTGTGGGTACAATACAGAATGTGTTATAATACTATGGCTTGCCTGACTTGATTGATGCTTATGCAGTAAAGCTCTGGTTTTTCATGGTACCCATCCATCCATCCGTCCAATATGCCGGGCTGGAATATTATGAGTATGGCATCGAGAGAGTCCATATGCCAGACTAAATTTGGCCTAGAGGTCAGAACTGTTGGCTTACATTGGTCCATGTGTGCATGTTGTTGGGTTTATTTACATTTACATTCCAAAATCACGATGCCAAGGTGCAATTGGGTTAGCTATAGGTAGCTTGGCTCGGAGGCTTGGTTCAAATTGCTTATTGCACCGAGGCATAGTGGAATTTTGTTTCTTGCATGAATCACTTGATTGGGGAAAACCCAATCATTGTATGAGTTGCCGTGATATTGCTGAGCATGCTGAGTGCCTGACAAATCCAATGTTTTTAATAATTCACGATCTTTTATCTTTGCAGAAATGCTATGAACAGAAGCAGTACAAGAATGGGTTGAAGTTTGCAAAACAGATTCTAACAAATCCCAAGTTCTCAGAACATGGAGGTAAGTTATGTTGTTGACAGTGTGATTGACAGGTAAAACAGATCCTTAGTGTGTCCCAGGCTTGTAGTAACAGATCCATCATCAACTATCTGTGATTTACCATCTTGGAGGTTTAGTAGGCATAGGATGTCTATAACTGGACTAGAGTGAGTGAGTTTAGTTTTACGTCACTCTAAGCAATAGTCCAGCTGTATGGCTGCAGTCTGTAAATAATCAAGTATGGACCAGACAATCCAGTGATCAACAGCATGAGCATCGATCTGCACAATTGGGATATGATGACATGGGTCAACAAAGTCAGCGAGGCTTGGTGACTTGGTTGATCGTGTCTAGGGGTGACTATTTAGGGGGAAACAACTATTGCGATAGCGATAGTCTATCATGACCAACTATTGCAATAGTTCTTTTTCTCCTTGAATAGTCTCATCTGAAGTCATAACTGACAAACTGTTTTAGAATAACAGGGGCGGATAACTCTAAATCGAAGTGAACGAATCTGGTACTTCCTGTATTTTGCACTGCACATTTATCAACATAAGTCAATTCCTAAACTATCGATAGTCACACATCCTATCAATGCACCCATATTTTTTCTTTTCCACCATCAATAAGTTGCTGTCGTAGACTGAACAATTGTAATCAATTGATGGTTCGATGCATCGTTAAGCCCTTGTGCCATCATGTCATCATACCCTCATGGTGTGGGATGCTGCTCAAGATATCAATCACAGGTTTGACTGGTCTAAAATTTGCATACATACCTGCCACTGTCATCATGGTCAAAGTGCTGAACTATTTCTGTGAGCAACGTTCAACAACAAAGCAGGTGAGGTTCAATATGTGAAACTGATCATGAATCTTATATTGTATGTTGCAGAAACTTTAGCAATGAAAGGTTTGACACTGAACTGTCTAGGTCGCAAGGAAGAGGCCTATGACTATGTTCGACGTGGGCTTCGGAACGACCTGAAGAGCCATGTCTGTATCCTTGAACCATCTGTATACGTCATGTATCAGAAATGTAGCGACAGGTATCACAATCACAGGATCATGTATATATACTCAGTTCCAAAAGAAAGTGAATCACATAAAACTGTGATGCAGTGGTGAATAAAGAGATTGATGTTTGCATGTGAAAAGACACAAAGAAACATGGGTACTTTAAGTGAACATAAAAATTATAATAATTCTTAAACAGACATGTTTTGTGATAATGTCAAAAAGGCGGCATTAGGTTGCAAACTATGGTAACCTCCTCAGGAGACATGTCTATGTCTGCCATGCCCTCCCTCCTTCTCGCTCTCTCTCTCTCTCTCTCTCTCTCTCCCCCTCTTTCTTTGTTCTTTCTTTCTGGTGATGCCTGGTTGAAACAGGTCCTCACATGCCCCATGCTCCAGAGATGCCAACTCATACGATTTTATCATATTCGTTACGGAAAAAAACACAAAATACGTGACAACAGTAAAAATATACGAATTTAAAAAAAGATACATTAAATTATCAATAGCATATGTACTATACATAACATATTGCAACCACATTTTATTCAGCATCAAGCAATTTGTTTTTACTACTGATTTAGGTGAGTGCAGTGTTAATAACAAGTTCTTAGAATATCTAAATATTCTGTATTAAATATGAAAATTCTTTGGAAAGGTAATACTAATTTTGAATTTTTTTTTACTAATTTTTGCATCAGTTTTTGGCCAAAATACTAATTGGCCTAAATTAGGGTTGGCATCTCATCATACTCGCCTCCCTGTGGGATGACAGGAATGTTCCAATGGTCAGGCTCTCTGACTTGGCTGATTGTGCAATAACCAAACAGCATGAGCAATGACTCATGCCTTCAGTCACAGATTAACCTTGACTTGATTATTTGTTGTCATCCTTGACCAACTGTCCAGGCTGGCATGTCTATGGCCTTCTCCAAAGGTCCGACCGCAAGTATGACGAGGCGATCAAGTGCTACCGCAATGCTCTCAAGTGGGACAAGGTTTGTTTTTGTAACATTTATCAATTAAATAATACTGAGTGTGAATCATAAATTGACTGTTATTGTCCAATTTGTCTTCACCATATGTATCAAGTGGTAAAGGCCTAGGGTCAGCATCATCAGACTTTCATGTAACCATGGTAACTGAAAAGGTGTTGGACATGTTAATCCTAATTGTCTTACAGACTTGACAGTCCTATTTGTCAGTGCAAGAGTTGAAACTATTATATTTTATTCTGTTTATTACAAGATAATTAATATTTAGGTACATTTGTGTTTCAGGACAATCTTCAGATCTTGCGAGACTTGTCGTTGTTACAGATACAGATGCGAGATCTTGAGGGGTACAGGGTGAGTAACAGACAAAACAGTGCCCAAACTTGACATCGGCTACAAATTGTTAGAACTATTACATATATCTGCAAATATACACCTGGAAATAGGTTCAGCACCAACCTTCCATATTTTCATGCATGTTTTCATACATAATCAAAGAACTTTAGGACATCTAGTTCTTTCATATTAGCTTCTGACCGCCTTGTGGTGTAATGGTTAGAGCGTCCGCCCGGAGACCCGAAGGTCGCGGGTTCAATCCCCGACCGCGTCATACCAAAAGACGTTAAAATATAGTACTTGTTGGTCGCTGCCTGGCGCTTGGCATTAATGGGTACAACAAGGACTGGTTGCCTCGGAGTCAGTATACGTGTCTGAGTGGGGTATTCATGCTTCACTGCAGCATGGTATCTCAGTGGGCTAGAACTATGAAACCAGCTTAAGTCTGGGCTAGTACAAGCAGCCGCACATACACGCATGCACGTCGTCATATGAGCGAAATATTCTCAAGCACGACGTTAAACACAATTTCACCTCACATCACTTGAGCTTCTGCAGAATTATCCCAAATCTTTTGACCACGAATGTATGTAATCCAGCACTGCACAGTCAAAATTGAAATGATTTACCAGTTAGCAGGTTTGTCTTCCTTATATGCACTGAACCATTACCTGTCTTGCAGGAAACAAGGTACCAGCTGTTGGCTGCGGCCAGGTCAACGAGCATCATGGATTGGCTACGCTATGTCATATCATCTTCTCAAAGATTATGATATGGCTCTCAAGATTCTTGACGAGTTTAGGAAAACGCAAATGGTAATTGCTTATGCAGAGAGTTTAGTGTGGCTTATACCCAAGACAAACTAATGCTGCACGTGATGTTTACAATAGATCCTTCTGATTACTGTGAGGTCAATTTTTACTGATGCAGCTCATACTGTCAGGCGTGGGGGTAGCCTAATGACTAGACCGCCGAAAACCCTCGTTTGATTCCCCACATGGGTACAATGTGTGGAGCCGATTCCCGGTGTCCCCTACCATGATATTGCTGGAATGTTGCTAAAAGCAGCATAAAACCATAATCACTCACTGTCGACAGTGAAGAAGACATACATACACTGTATGGTGATAAGGGGCGGTGGGGTAGCCTAGTGGTTAAAGCGTTGGCTCGTCACGCCGAAGACCCGGGTTCGATTCCCCACATGGGCACAATGTGTTGAAGCCCATTTCTGGTGTCCCCCGCCGTGATATTGCTGGAATATTGCTAAAAGCGGCGTAAAACTAAACTCAGTCAGTCAGTCAGTATGGTGATAAGGAGGATTAGGTCACATGATTGCCCTCATGATCTAGTGGATACAGAAGTTCGGTGGCTCCATTCCCAGTCTCATCAGACCGCCTCCGTGGTGTAGTGGTTAGAGCGTCCGCCCGGAGAGCGGAAGGTCGTGGGTTCGATCCCCGACCGCGTCATACCAAAAGACGTTAAAATATGGTACTTGTTGGTCCCTGCCTGGCGCTCGGCATTAATGGGTACAACAAGGACTGGTCGGCTCGGAGTCAGTATACTGTGTCTGAGTGGGGTATTCATGCTTCACTGCGGCGTGGTATCTCAGTGAGCTAGCACTATAAAACCAGCTTCAGTCTGGGCTAGTACAAGCAGCCACACATACACATACACACGCATGCACGTTGTCATATGAGCGAAATATTCTCAAGAACGACGTTAAACCCAATTTCACCTCACCTCACCCCAGTCTCATCATCCCAGAAGACCTTTAAAGATGGTACTTAATGTTTCCCTGACTTGTACTCAGCATTAAGGGCATAAAACAAGGACTTGGCAAAAAGTCTGGATACTATGCAGTTTGAGGTATTCACTTACGCTATGGCATGGTATCTGAGCAGGCTAGCACTATGCAACCAGCATAGTTTACTGCAAAACGCTACATAATCGTGAATGAGACTCTAAACCATATTTCATATCAGCTTAGAAAGCAATGGTTCAATGTACTGAGGTTGGAGGGGTGATGACTTGGGTTGAGGGCACTATACATGCACTTCTGACTGTTCTCACATTTCAGTCGTGATATAACTTGAGTAATGTTCAGAGCAGAGGTTAACATTTTCCACATGCATAGAACTAACAATCCCATTATTCACTCTTTTCATTCAGTTCATTGTGATAACTGAATTGTCTTTTGTCCTTCAAGCCCAAGCCACTTGACTACGAACATTCAGAACTGCTGATGTACCAAAACCTGGTGATGAGAGAGGCAGGGATGTATCAGAGGGCACTAGACCACCTAAAGACGTTTGACCACCAGATCGTCGATCGCCTCTCCCTCCAAGAGATAAAAGCGGAGATCCTTACCAAGTTGGGCCGTGCTTCAGAAGCTGTGGACATCTATCGAGATTTGATCAACAGAAATCCAGAAAATTGGGCATATTACGGAGGCTTAGAAGAATCTGTCAATCCAGGTGTGTGGTGGTGATTTCCTATCTCCATGCAATGGATTAAACTAACAAAGGCTTTCAGTATTTTGTATTAATGCAAGAACAACATTTATGAGTACAATAATTGTATCTTAACTTGTTCCAATATTGCAGCACATGATGTTTACAATAGATCCTTCTGAATAACATGAAGCCTACTTTAACTGATGCAGTAAAATCTTAGACAAGGTTTAATGTCAACGCGGTGATTCTGAAATAAAGTGTAAGATCTGTTACTGTAATGCTGGCTAATTGTCCATATGTCGCCCTGAGAGGTTACCGACATCAGTGCTGAAAAACCTATAGCCATGATTAACCCATTCAATTTATGCCATAAGTTTTGGTTATGGTTTAAATTAATGCATGGGTGAATGGGAAAGGTCCAGAATTGGATACTTTAGCCACTCTTAGAATATTATCAAAACTAATTATAAATGATACTAAGAGGAATATGTAATAAAAGCTGAAAAACACAATGCAAGTTAATTAATTACTAATAGAAAAAGTAAAAAATCATCTCTGTATGATGGGTGTGATGTCCTTTTCACAAATGTTTGTCCAAAATTTTTTTAAAAGCCACTAAGAGTGTGTGTAGTTTTATCTCTGTACATCCATGAAGGTCCGGGTTAGAATGTACCTTCAGTAACCCATGCTTGTCATAAGAGGCGACTAACGGGATTGGGTGGTCAGGCTCTCTGGCTTGGTTGACACATTTCATCGGTTCCCAATTTCGCAGATCAATGCTCATGCTGTTGATCACTGGATTGTCTGGTCTAGACTCGATTATTTACAGACTGCCATGCCATATAACTGAAATTTACTGCTGAGTGTGATGGCTGGAAAGCAAAACCGAAACTCACCCACCCATTATCTCTGTACATTCATGCTTGTTAATTAATTATTTATGACATGTTCCAGCAACGGAAGCTGAACGCCTACAGCTGTACAGGGATGTGCATGAGAAGTATCCAAGGGCGTCCACACCAAGGAGAATACCATTAACATTCTTAACAGGTGAGTGCTACTTTTACATGTATCCCTAGGGAATTCTACTGCAGATTTACGTACCATCTATACAATCGTTGACAGGAACATGATGATTGCTTGGTGTCTGTGTGACCTGGCTTATTGTCATCACACCTGAATAATCATGCAGTCAGCTTCATTGTCAGGCCCACACTTCATCGTTCAATTCTGCAGTGATATAGCAGCTTTCACTCACTTGGTGTCGCCTGATGGTTGGATGGTGGAGTAGCCTGGTGGTTAAAGCATTCACTTGTCACACTAAGAACCCAGGTTTGATTCTCCACATGGGCACCCATGAAGTCCGGGTTAGAATTGATCTTCAGTAACCCATGCTTGTCTTAAGAGGCAACTAACAGGATCGGGTGGTCAGACTCCCTGACTTGGTTGACACATGTCATTGTATCCCAATTGCTCATAGCTGATCATTGCTTTTCTGCATATAGCTGGAATATTGCTGAGTCTGGCTTAAACTCACTCAACTTGTGAAGCCCATTTCTGGTGTCCCCATACGTTATGTTGCTGGAGGGGTGGTGGGGTAACCTAGTGGTTAAAGCGTTAAGCTCGTCACACTGAAGGCCCAGGTTCAATTCCCCACATGGGTACAATGTGTGAAGCCAATTTCTGGTGTTCCCAACCATACTCACTCAGTATATTGGTGGAATATTGCTAAAAGCAGTGTAAGCCTAAACTCACTCACTTACTGCTGATGGTAGTTAGCCAGCTCAGAATACTGTATGTGAGTGGGGTATCCGTCATTAAACCTTGGCATGATATCTCAGGTGGCTAGCAACAAAACCAGTAGGCTGGACTAGAACAGCAGCTTCACTTCCTTGTTGCTATTAATTACAGTTCTGTATATATGATGTGAAGTACCTTTTACATCTTCCAACCTACTCGGGTTAGATGGCTGACTTTGTGTGCGGGCTGATAAGATGCCTGACTCTTGAGGGTGTGGGTTCAAATACTGGATGGGAGTCAACCCCAACAAAAGTATTAGAATCTGTAGTTTACTGAGAAAGTGTAATCCAGGGATTTACCCCAGTATTTGAGGTTTGAGGGCCCTTGGGACTCATATTCTTAATTTTCAGGGTCCTGAATTACAAAATGGGGTCAAAGACACTTAAATATTATTATTTATATTTTTATTGTATTGTGTATCATGATTATCACATTGTTACAGTAATTAAATTGCAATTGATACCATAACGCAGCTAGTTGGAAACTCAGTGGTTACTTATTGTTACTTGATTGGAATTTTAACAAAAATTATTTGGACTTTTCTGCGTCCCTGTGGATAATAAATTTACGTTGCATCCATTGTCAATTTTATGTGTATAGGGGCCTTGGAATTTAGATCCTGTAAATCCCTGGTATTCCCAAATATAACATTTTACATGTTAAAGTATGTCAACATTTTATAGGTCTGTCTAGAAGTTAACTGCCTCCATGGTGTAGTGGTTAAATCCGCCCGGATAGCGGAAGGTCGCGGAGTTCGATCCCGACAAGCGTCATACCAAAAGAGCGTTAAAATATGGTACTTGTTGGTCCCTGCCTGGCTTCGGCATTAATGGGTACAACAAGGACTGGATTCGACTTGGAGTCAGTATAATGTGTCTGAATGGGGTATTCCTGCTTCACTCTGCGACATATATGATCTCAGTGGGCTAGCACTATAAAACCAGCTTAAGTCTGGGCTAGTACAAACAGCCGCACATACACCGCGCATGCACGCGTGTCGTCATATGAGTGAAATATTCTCAAGCATGGCGTTAAACCAAATTTCACCTCACCTCACCTGTCTAGAAGTCAAGCTACTTATGATATCAGCTATGGACCATTATTATGAAGACTAACATGTACAGTCTGTGTACTCCACATAGCTTGATTATTTTCTTGTTTGAGTGGCATTTTAAAAGTTGGGACATACAATGTTGAACAAACTTTATGGATAACAATTTCTTTTATTTAAAATGAGTGCAGCGTTCGATACAGATTCATGTAGTTCTTAACAACAGTTCAAGAATCTGTATCAAAACGTCTCATGAAATAAAAAAGAAGTTATTTTCCATGGAGTTTATTCAAGCTGTTGATTATTGATGAGGGTGCTCATGCTGTTGATCACTGGATTGTCTGTTCCAGACTTGATTATTTACAGACTGCCACCATATAGCTGGAATATTGCTGAGTGTGCTGTAAAACTAAACTCGCTCACTCACCGTTGCTGAGGGCAGCCTCAAACACGCATCAGTCAGATGTGAAGTAGTCTTGATAGGAAACTCCTTTGTCATATTAAACGCCATCACTGATGTAACTATTCTCTGAAGTTGTGATAGTAATGAATGCTATATTGATGGCAACTTTTCTTGTAGATGGCGTTTTGAGGGGCTGACAAAAATATTAAAAGTAGTAAATATGTTGTCAATATTTCGTTCTTCTTTAGCGGCAGGGGACATTGCCATATTAGTGGCAAACACTTGTTTACTCTTGTCTTGGAATGTTTACCGTGTCAAAATAAGCAGGTGATCTTGCTGAAATGTAATGTGGTTCTGGCATTTTTGTTTGTGTGAGAACAACTCTCTGCTGAATTGATCATTTCTGTATCCATCTATTTCTGTTTCAGGTGAAAATTATAGAAGATCTGATCCTAGACTATGTGAATAATTTGAGTACTACAGGATACTTTGATGCCAATGTGGGTAGGTACACTGAAGTCTTAAAATTATGCTCTAGTGGTAGAGGCATTGCTGTGTAAGTTTCTGTTAACACTGATATTGAGGTATTGAGCATGTGATACTGTATCCTCGCCCACTCTCTCTCTCTCTCCTCCCCTCCTCCTCCCTCCCCCTCCCTCCTCCTCCTCCCCTCCCTTTTCTCCCTTTTATTGCTGAGTGCAGCGTTAAAAAACACACCAACCCTCTGCACCCCCCATTATATCACATTGAAACTATAATAGTATTTAGTCATGGTAAGCAGGGACAATTGTGAATTTTATGTTATGAAGGCAGGTAATTCAATATTTCAGGTATTTTACACAAGCATGTTGACGGATATATGGATCAGTATGTATGTGTGCCAGATAACATTGGCCGTTGTTTCGCTTCAGGTGAGAATGAAGAGAAGGAGCCAGCTACCGCCTTGCTGTGGACATACTATTACCTGGCTCAGCATTTTGACTACCTCGGTGACATCCGGAAGGCCATTCACTACTGTGATCTGGGCCTGGAACACACTCCATTGTTGATAGAGCTTTACGTCCTCAAGGCCAAACTACACAAGGTAAGAGAATCTGGAGGAAAACTCTGTCATACTAAACACATCTTTTGTCACTACCTCTACATGGGACCTAAGGAAATTTCATTACAGACCTGTTCAAGATGGTTTAAGTGACTATCAAAATGTCACGCTTCGGGTACCGTCACGGTTGATGCAAGCTGTTATGAATGAGTTATATGAGTTACATGTGTTGTGGCTTGTTCTGTGAGTGGTTTGGACTTTCCATAGTCCATAGGAAGTGTTGCCTTTAAATCTTCACCATCTATTAGAAGTATTAAAAAAATCATTTCTTCAGTTGTAAAATTTGGAGCAATGTCCCAATATTTTTCAAAGCGTATGTTATGAAAGTCACCAGTTGAACTTTGTGCCATAAATCTGTAACGAGTTAGTGAACAGGCAAAGAATCAGCTTCAGAACATTATGACAATGAAAACAAGGTAAACTCGAGATTAAGCAGGATCCTTAGGAATTGCTGCTGTATTTCAATCAAAGTACCCCTAAAATCTTAATCTGTTGGCATTAGGTGACGACGATGATCAAGTGTGAACACAGATATGAATGGAAAGATAACAATATATGGATGGAGACTTCTTTCTTGCTGTGGGAGTGCAATAAAGAAGTTATTCCATATATTGTTATCTTTCGTTACTGCCCAACTTCTAAATGCCTCTCAAAGAAGTTACTGATATGAATGTTTTGTAATGTCGTCTGCCTCTACTTGTAGCATGCAGGTGACATTGAGGAGGCTGTGCGGCTGATGGACGAAGCCCAAAGTCTTGACACAGCCGACCGCTATATAAACTCCAAGTGTGCCAAGTACATGCTGCGTGGTAACCTCATTCAGGAGGCGTCCGATATGTGTGCCAAGTTCACCAGGGTAGGTACAGCACAGCAATAGTTTAATAGAAGCATGTGGTTCCCAGTCGAGGTTTTCACAGATCTGGCCTGCGAAATAGTAGCTTTGCAGTTATATGTCCGGATTTGTAGTATTTACTATCAGTATGGTGTTATAATGTGGTCATCTTTCTCTGGAATACTGTCCGAACTCTTCATACTCAAGCATACATTTATGCCAGTCATATAGTAAGATTGCCTTCGTGGATCAGGGCCTAGATTTTCTAAGCTCTTAGCGCTAAGATAGTCGAAAGTTAATGTTAATGTTTGGCACTTACGACTATCTTAGCGCTAAGAGAGTTCGAAAATCTAGGCCGAGGGCCCAAGTACATGAATTACCTGTAATAATAAACATTTGAACTATGGTGTAATGGTGTAAGGTTGTAGATTCTGTTTCTGTTTAGTTTGCAGAAATTGTTAAAAAGACGCCGAAGATAAGAACAACTGTCATTTTTGTAATGATGGCATAGTCTTGTTATCAACCAAAAGTTTGGATGTGTTGCCATGGATAATATCAGTATTATCACTTCCAGCTCAGTCCATCATTCCAATGCCTCATCTAGCTAACCACAAAAACACATTTAAGGACGACCCCATGCTTGCATCTTAATATGGACTGACTGACAAACAGTAGTAATTTGAAAATGGGTCTGAACATTTTTACTAGTTTGTTGCAATTTAAGATAATTGCCGTCATATTTTATGTTTAGAAGTAAATGTTGCAGTGAAAATGAAACCTAAATGAAAACCTGTTCTTTCTTCAGGAGGGTGTTTCTGCAACAGAGAACCTGAACGAGATGCAGTGTATGTGGTTCCAGACGGAGAGTTCTGCCGCACACCAGCGTCTGGGCAAGTGGGGCGATGCCCTCAAGAAGTGCCACGAGATAGATAGGGTAAGCAGTACATGTTCCTATGGGCACTCCTGAGGACGTTAAGTCACTCCAGCGAATGATTTTTCGTGATTTTGATTTCTTTTTGTTTTTGTTTTCTTCTTCTTTTTTCTTTTTTGGCTGGGGCGGTGGGGTAGCCTAGCGGTTAAAGCATTCGCTCGTCACCCTGAAGACCCAGGTTCAATTCACCACATGGGTACAATTCGTGGAGCCCATTTCTTGGTGTCCCCTGCTGTGATATTGCGGGAATATTGCTAAAACAAAACTCACTCATCTCTTTTTTCTTTTCTTTTTTGAGCTAAGTGATAAGTGGATCACATCAGTCCAGATAAGCTGAATATGTATACACAGTATCACCATTACTCAATTAATTTTCACTTATTTGCGTACATACGTGCTATTCACAAAGCCTAATGACTGATTTTGAACATTGATGTTGCTGCACATGATGTTTACAATAGATCCTTCTGAAATATATGAAGCCAACTTTGACTGATGCAGTATCATGTTTTACATAGACATATATGGACCAAGTCTACAAATGTAGCTTGTCTTTAGATGAGAACATGGACATAGTGTTTATAGTGTACCTTGAGAATGTATGAGGTCAACTCCACCTGTGATAAATATCGTTGGTCTTTTCAGCATTTTACAGAAATCATTGAGGACCAGTTTGACTTCCACACCTACTGCATGAGGAAGATGACGTTACGGGCGTATGTTGGCCTGTTGAGGTTAGAAGACAAATTGAGGAGTCACCCCTTCTACTACAGGGCTGCTAGGATAGCAATAGAGGTACTGTTCTTGCTTGTTCTTCCAATTTCCTGTTTTTCTTCTATTTACTATTTCGGGGCGGCGGGGTAGCCTAGTGGTTAAAGCGTTGGCTCGTCACGCCGAAGACCCGGGTTCGATTCCCCACATGGGCACAATGTGTGAAGCCCATTTCTGGTGTCCCCGGACGTGATATTGCTGGAATATTGCTAAAAGCGGCGTAAAACTAAACTCAGTCAGTCTATTTACTATTTCCCCCCCATGAGGATTCCAGATGTGAATCCAGGTCAGAATTGGTCTTTAGCAACTCATGCTTGTCATAAGAGGCGTCTAACTTGATTGGGCGGTCAGGCTCGCTGACTTTGTTGACAAATGTCATTGTATACCATCTGCGTAGATCAATGCTCATGTTGTCAAACACTGGGTTGGCTGTTCCAGACTCGATTATTTCCAAACCACCATCTTGTATCTGGAATATTCCTGGGTAAATTGTTAAATACCCACTTTTGCATGAAGTATGGTGTACTGAAACTTCAAAGGCTTTCAGAACCTGATGTTAAAGAATTGTAAAAGTACTTGTGTTATGGAAAAATTAGGATTGGTGTACAATGATTAGACTTACTTATACCGATATTGCTGCACATGATGTTTACAATAGATCCTTCTGAAAACAACATGAAGCTTACATTAACTGATGCAGTAAGATATTCAACATTATAAAAGGGATTGAGGGGCGGTGGGGTAGCCTAATGGTTAAAGCGTGAGCTCGTCACACTGACGACCCGGGTTCGAATCCCCACATGGGCACAATGTGTGAAGCCCATTTATGGTGTCCCCCGCCGTGTGATATTGCTGGAATATTGCTAAAAGCAGCGTAAAACCCAACTCACTTACTGTTAAAGGGATTGATGATGTCACACCAGGATTTCAAGATCGTTGCTTTCTTTGCAGATCTATTTACATTTACATGACCACCCGTTTACGGAACATGAACAAGAAAATAACCTAGATACAGGTAAGAGCCTCATTAAATCAAGGAATTCAGTTGCGTAATGTAAGTATGTGTCTACACATTACATAGATAATGCTCCTACTGTTCATCACTGCATTGTCTGGTCAAGACACAATTACTTACTGACTGCTCCCATACATTTGGAATATTGCTGAGTGCGGTGTTGAAAAAACCCATATCCACTCAGATTTGGTTCAGAGATCTCACAGCTGGAGATACATATGGTCTATAATCAACTGGACAAGTAGCTTCAACCGATAAATGGTGACAAATTGCCGCAGGAATTGAACTGAATTTTTTTGCCTTTTATGCATGTGTCTCTTGAAATATGTTTTATATTTACTGCTTTCTTTTTATTCTTTATTCGTCATATCAAGTTCAATTTCCCACATAGGTACAATGTGTGAAGCCCATTTCTAGTGTGCCCTGCCGTGATATTGCTGGAATATTGCTAAGAGCGTCGTAAAACTGAACTCACTCACTGTCTTAGTATCATGTCGTGTGCGCTGACAATACACCATTAGTTATGTTCCCTCTTGGATTTCACAGAAAATCTTAGTCCTAGTGAACTGAAAAAGATGAAACGGAAACAGCGGAAGGCAGCCAAGATAGCAGAGATGGCTCGGGAACGGCAAAGAGCAGAAATGGAGAAGAGGGAGTTACAGAACAAGAAAAGCCAGGATGGAGATCTGGATGGTCCCAAGGAAGAGGAGCTTGTGCCAGACAAACTGGCTAAGGTATTAAACATAATGTTTTAGAATGACAAGCAATTGTCACTCTAAAGCATACTATTAAACTATGTTGTGTCAATATTCCTCATCAATGCAATCCCAGTTGCGTAGATTGATGCCCATGCTGTTGATCACTGGAATGTCTGGTCCAGGCTTGATTATTTATAGACCGCCACCATATAGCTTGAATATTGCTGAGTGACAACAAACAACTAAACATAGATGCAATTCATGTGTGTCTATGTGCAAATGCTAGGTTAGTATTTTCCCCAAGATAAATCTACTTGTCAATTTGACAAGTGTGAACGACAGCATGAAAAGTGAGGTATGAGGTAGATGGCGAGAGTTACCTGCTCTTGGCTCTAGGGGGCCAAGAGAGGCCCTGTAGGGGTGATCTCACAAGACAAAAACAAGTTTTTGGTTTTGTAATAAAAATTTATAAAGATACTGTTACAGGACATTTTAATCCGTATATGTACCTCAAGGAGGACTTTCTTCAAAGAATCAGTAACCTCTACAGGGTTGTATGAATTTGTCATACAAGGCAACTACATCGTTTGGTAGGTCAGGCTTGGTGAATGTGCAGCACACCCCAACAGCATGGGATATTCTAATACCAATAATTAGTTTGTTTGGTCGAGACTTGATTGCTTGCATATGACTGGAATATGCCAGACTGAAGTATTAAAAACAAACAAATCCATTTTCAGTGTTTTTTCTTCATATCCACTGTCTGTCTCGCCAAACATAACATCCTTCAGTTTACCCTGAAAAAAATATTTGGACAGTTAACTATGCACCTTTGTTGAACCATGATTGCTTAATAATCACCAAGTATGAAGATCTGAATCTGATTGATTGATAGTGTTAGTCACTAGGTTGTCTGGTCTTGCCTTGATTATTTACAGACTACCATTATATAGGTTGAATATTGCTGACTGTGTCATTAATCAACAAACGAACATAATTGCAGCTACTTTGGTTATGCAAATTAATGCTGAAGCCGACAAGTTCTATGTATTGCTTACCGGTGAAGGTCTGGGTGAGAATATTGAACTTCAGTAACCCATGCTTGTCGTAAGAGGCGACTAACGGGATCAGGAAGTCAGGCTCACTGAATTGGTTAACACATGTCATCGGCTCCCAATTGCACATATCGATGCTCATGCTGTTGATCTCTGGATTGTCTGGTCCAGATCCAATTATTTACAGACTGCCGCCATATAGCTGGAATATTGCTGAGTGTGGCGTAAAACTAAACTCACTCACTCACTCACCTATGTATTGCTACTGTGCCTGTCCTGCAAGTAATGTTCATGCACTATTTACCACTTTGTAGGCTGAAGACCCTCTGGAACAGGCCATGCGCTTCATGAGGCCCCTGCAGCTTCTGTCACCTCGGAGGGTAGAAACACATGTTTTAGCTTATGAAATTTACTCTAGGAAAGGTAAGAAATTACAATATACCCATGTTGTAAAACTGTGACAGAGTAGGTCCAAAGTACCATCGATCAGTAGGTAGATATTTGGCCTGAAATCTAAACAGAAAATATTCCTGAAAAAGGAAACATTCCTGACAAAAATCTGTACATATCCATCCTCATGGTTTTAATCATGTAGTGGGGCGGTGGTTTAGCCTAGTGGTTAAGGACCGCCTCCGTGGTGTAGTGGTTAGAGTGTCCGCCCGGAGAGCAGAAGGTTGCGGGTTCGATCCCCGACCTTGTCATACCAAAAGACGTTAAAATATGGTACTTGTTGGTCCCTGCCTGGCGCTCGGCATTAATGGGTACAACAAGGACTGGTCGGCTCGGAGTCAGTATAATGTGTCTGAGTGGGGTATTCATGCTTCACTGCGGCATGGTATCTCAGTGGGCTAGCACTATAAAACCAGCTTAAGTCTGGGCTAGTACAAGCAGCCACACATACACACGCATGCACGTCGTCATATGAGCGAAATATTCTCAAGCACGACGTAAAACCCAATTTCACCTCACCTCACATACTGTAAACGTACTTATTTTCGCGTGGTGCAATTTTCGCGGAATTGACAGTTTAGACTACATCGCGCGGTCAATTATTCACGCAATCAGTAATTGCCGGAACTGCCAGGTGTCTCTTTGGCCGCCACTAATAGCAGTGAAAACAAACAGAGTGGCTGAACCTGTCAGGCGGCGTTTATTTGCTTACTCACAGGAAATCCCTATCTGTGCGATATACTAGTACACAGTAACCCGTTTACTCCCGGAAGAGATGAAAAACACATCAGTATTATGTTCCGAATTCTGACGATCTGACTAATTAACTTATACTGTATATGAAGCTCTTTGTGATTTCAAACAAGCCGGGTTGTTGTGAATGAGATGATTGAGTGTTAGTGACTATTCGCTTCATGATGATACATTTGTATCTAAATGAATAAATAAAATACTGCTGTATTATTTCTTTCCGAAGTCGTTTCGCGGGTAATCCGCTTTGTATCAAACCATCTGTCATGTGACCAATTTCCATGGCGGCCACAACACACATTGCTGTTTTCGCTAATACGTCGATGGGATTTGGCTCATTATTTAATTATGTTTTGGGAAATCCATTACAGCGACAGTTAAGTTTGATTCTTTATGCTACTATCAGTCGTCATTTTAAGATTCCCGTAGATTTCTGTCTTCAAACTTCATGTGTTATGGTAACAACTCAGGGCGAAGCGTGGCTAGACTGAATGAATGACAGGTTTATTAAGTGTGCATAAATTTTGCTTCTAAAATGTTTTGCCGAAAAATAAAACTCGCGCCGAAATATACTACGTTGACAGTAGTGGTTAAGGCGTCGCTCGTCATATCGATGACTCCACTTCCATTCCCTACATGGGCACAATGTTTGAAGCCCACTTCTGGTGTCCCCCACTTTGATACTGCTGGAATATTGATTTAAGTGATGTAAAACTCACACACTCACTCACTTAATCATGTAGCCAACATCTTTTACTTTGTCACTTTACTCCCATATTAAATCCAAATATACTACTCCCACTTTGATAAGGATCACAAAAATCGCAACTTTACTTAAACGTAGATTTATAATTTGAAATTGTATCCATTTAAAACTGGATAAATAATAATATGATAACCCCTCTTGAGGCAAACAGCCACTTTAATCTAACCTTATGCACTTGAAATGATTTTCATGGCACCAATCAACCATTTGGCAAATCATGAAACGAGTCATTGACAAATAAACAACACCTGTCAATAGCAGGTATGGGATCCACAAGATGCAATGACATACTGAAACCTAGGATCCATGCTAACAATAAGCTTAGATATTTAAACCAAATTTGACCCCACATCATAGTTTTCTGTTGAATCCATGATTTGATCCTTAGCAAAGTGTGAATAGTATATCTTGAGGTGACCGAAAATGTCGAACTTCAATTATTCATATATTTCCCGAAAGAAATCAGCTTGTAGCGTGATTACAAATGAACTGTATTATAGTGATATCGAGCTCTAGAATATTTGTATTCAGTGTGTCAGTTTTCCATTCTTTTACTTCGTGCAGGAAAATTATTACTGATGTTGCAGTCCATAAAGCGAGGTTTCCAGACCGACCCATACGATCCCCAGTTCCACATATGTAAAATTAGGTATCTTCAGCTCGGTGAGTAGATAGTTGTTTAGTCTTGTGCAGAGACTAACTTCCATTAATAACTTTCATTTTACTATACCCATCAGCACAAACAAATCTGATGAATACAAGGACCAAACGAAATGTATTCTCTTATGTAGTTATGTTACATGGCTAATGTCATGTTACAGATAACACAAAGAAACATTACATTGTATTGGTACAGATTTTGAAAAGTCTTAAACAGTTTTGGGATCTGCAGTAAACACTTTTTCAAAATCCAGTATTGATTTTTGCAGTTGGGGGTGTGTGGGTTAGCCTAGTGGTTAAAGCATTTGCTCATCGTGCCAAAGACCCGGGTTCGATTCTCCACATAGGTACAATGTGTGAATCCCATTTATGGTGTCCCCCACTGTGATATTGCTTGAATTGCTTAAAGGGGCATAACACTAAACTAATATGACTGGGAGAACCTTGGACAAAATCCTATTTCCAGGAATCTGGGGATTTTCATTTTGGAGAAATATTTATGATATGTTGGGAAAGCCAACTGAAGTATTTCTCAGTATGTTTTTCTAGTTGTCTGGTTTCTTCTTAAATTGCTTTGACTCTTGCAGAAGCAGAAGTTGTTTTGATGAGTAAACTTTTGTATTCGAATTATTATCCCCGCCATGCAGTGGAAGGGGATATAGGTTTGAGTTCTGTCTGTCCGAGATGATGGGGACACATTTTCTATAAAAACTGTTATAGATAGGGAAACCAAATTTGATATGTGTTTTCAGGACGTGAATGCCTTGATGGAGTTCAAAAATGAAAACCGTGTTACGATTCTTTAGAGTTATGGACCTTGTCACTCATTTCTTGACTTAGTGCACCTTATCCCCAATGGGAACCCATTTTCTCAGTATAGATAGGGAAACCAAATGTATGTGTTTTCAGATAGGGAAACCAAATGTGGTATGTATTTTCATGACTTCTTGTTTAATGAATTTTGTTTTTGATTATTTTTTTGGAATCGTATGATTTGAGTTTAGAGAATCTTGGTGATTGTTATTTTGTGGATTTCAGTGAAGAAGAGTGAGCTGAGTGAACCCTTGAAGTCTGTGATAAACCAGGAAGTGGAGCGAGTGTACGAGGGGAAGTCCGCAAACACGCTCAACGACGAGTTCATTGCTAGAAACTCCAAATCCTTAGAACATCTACTTGCAGGTTATTGAAACACTTCACAAGATATTTGATAGGTCCACAGCAACATATGCTATTTCAAAGAATCAACTAATTGGACGTGTCGGTCAGACTCCGCTGTAGATTGCATATCATATGGCATTGAGGGTTATTCATACTATCAATCATTGGTTTGACCCTGAAGTAAAATGTTTTCTTGCCAATTGAACAGACTTCTATTATTATTATTAACTCACCACTTGGATCAAATCTATTGCTAATAATTTCTATCATGTTGAGATCCGTAGTCTGTTTGGATTACTGCATTTAGATGTGCATGACTGTTCATATAAGGGAGATAACTCCAAATATGAAGGTAGATTTTGGGGTGTACAAAACCCTCTCCTGAGGTGGAAATTAAAATCTTTTAATTTCTTATGACTGTTGTGAATAATTGTATCTTGATTCTTTTATGTAACAATTTGTTAAACTTCTTTGTTATTTTTGCCAGGCGCCCGAATGATGTACGAGCTAGACCAGGCTACACAGGTGAAAGCAATCTCCTTGGCAACATCTTTGTCCAATGATATCAAAGGAGTTACAATCAAGGTGTGTACAGTGCTTTGTTTACTGTAGGCACTCAAAAGGGACCCCCAACCCCCTCACGTGAAGATGATTGATGCATGACCTTGTATCCCAGTAGTATAGATCAATGCTCATTGGATTGTCTGGTCCAGATTTTATACTTTAACAGACTGCTGCCATACAGCTGGAATATTATGGAGAGCTCCTTAAAACAGACAAGCAAGAGTTCCCATATGACATTCCTGTAATGATTGATGAATAATACTTGCATTGATCTTCTCAGTGCTGTTGCATTGCATATGCGGTCCCCATTCCACTGAGTAGTCTTTCTTCAGGCTTTGTTTTTCTCTCTTCAAAATGATTACTATCGAAGATCTGGGTTAGAATTAGTCTTCAGCAACCCATGCTTGTTGTAAGAGGCGACTAACGGGATCAGGTGGTCAGGCTCACTGACTTGGTTGACACGTCATTGTATTCCAGTTGTGTAGATCGATGCTCATGCTGTTGATCACTGGATTGTCTTGTCAAGACTCGATTATTTAAAAACCAATGCCATATTTATCTGGGATATTGCTGAGTGCTGCGTTAAACAGCAAGCCAATAAACCACAAAATGATCAGCAGATAAAATAATCATTTTTAAGATAACTTTGTTGTTGGAGATTTTTATTTTTTTTAAATCTGGCTTAGTTAAATATGGCTAAAGTGATTCAGTGTAATACATGAAAGTCTCTATTTCAGAACTGCATAGCAGTATTGGAATGTTTGTGCCGAGGAGACTTCGGCAGTTGCGAGAAAGACGCCCAGGACTACCAGGCCCGATGTCATAATGTGTTTCCATATGCAACCGCGTTCATCATCCCTCCCTCCACACAGCCTGATCAGATTGTTGCCAATGGCTCGACGTCATAGAACCTGACACACTGTGATACTCTTGTAATTCACACTCCCCATGCGGGAGACTTGTTATGGCCGACACAAAGTCCTTATTCTTGGATTTTGGCATTGATGTCCTGGTACTTTCACCCAAGAGGTGTTTCACGTGCTACCAGGAATGTAGAAACATTGAACCATGTTATACACTACAGGGAAGTGTTTGACACATTGAAAACTACAGTGTACACACAAATACAACCCAGGGCGAGGTTTGTTTTGGGCTGTAAATTCAGCTTATCACGAGACGCTTTACTGATCTCTCTGGAAAAGCTGACACTGTTCTTCTATCGTTGATCCACACAGTGCTTCTGGACCTATTCCCAAACAATGTCAAGATCTTTTACACTACTCCAATGTGTAAAAAGGTTCAAAGCAAAGATACAAATTGATGTGATTTTTGTATGGATTGTGTTTCTTCCGTCTTCAGTACATAGAGAATATTTGAGAGGTGATACAAACCATTTTTGCATAGAAATGGGACCTGTGCCACATTAAACTAGAATATTGACTCTTCACAACAGGAGATGTATTCCTGAGAACTTATATTCATTGTATGACATGTCACAGCTGATGTTTTCCTTTCAAACAGCTGAGTTTTCACTTATCAGCTGAATTTGACTTGTCACGAACCAGCATTTCTACCCCCAGTTTTGTATTTCTTGTGCTGCATCTGCTGAAAGCGGAAACGTTCAGTTGTACAGAACATAGCATATCTTTGAGAGCTTTACCCTGTGGACTGTAAGGGATGGAAGAGTCATCTCAAGTTCTTGGAATTTTATTTATTGGAATATGTTTTTGGGGAAGTAGTATGGGAATACTTCCGATGTGCCAAGACATGTAGCTTATCGTTGCTCAAACTACCGGAGCAAGGAACGTCTTCATATGGTTCATTGTGTTTTCCTCAATGTGGCTACAAGCTTTATTTATGTCAGACCCCTGACCATTACAAAATGAATCATGAATGAAATTGAATGCTCCAGTTAATAAATGAGATAAGAAAATGTAGGGTGCTTTAGAGGAATTCATGCTACTGAGACTCCTGATTGAAAAGAATGTAATCTCGGCTTCCAAGTTAATCATAGTTTGGATGTTTCAAATGAACTGGGAAAATTATCATTCATGGCTTGTGATCCATTAATACTTAAAATATTTCTTTAGAGTTGAACACAATGCTGTGCTTTAAATATGACAATATTGTGTGGGAACATCAATCGTTTAAGTTAGTGTATGGCGTTATGTCTATCATAACATGAGCCCCATTATAGCTATACATATCATACGACAGCTACCGGAGTCGATACAGAATATTACTTCTCCGGAGTTTGATCAAGCCAGGGCTTATTTAGCATCCAGGTAGTCATTGTATTGGGGACATGGAGTAGCCTAATGGTTAAAGCGCTTACTCATAACGCCAAAAAACTGGGTTTGATTCCTCACATGGGTACTATGCGTGAAGCCCACTTCTGGTCTCTTCAACCATGTTATTGCTGGAGTATTGATGAAAACGGCATAAAACCGTTCTCTCTCATTGTACTAGACCTTCCACAATCTTAATCTGTCTGTGATTTTTTTTTTTTTTTTTTTTTTGCCGGTGCCAGCTTTGCTAATCTATAATGAAGAGACCACCTATATTCAGAATATTAGTGTCTTATATCTGGCCAAAATAAGTTTCCACACTGAAGAGTTAACTCTCTTCTGCTAGTGTTATTAAATCTGAATAAACAAGATTATTGTTTGCGTGTCACTGCTAATTCAAAATTAGGATCTTTCATTTGTAATTTCAGGTATACAAGGCAATGGAATTATTGACATTTATCTGTATCAAATCTTATTACTTAATTAACTTGTAAGTGAAACATCTTTTGTTGGTTCTATACAGTTGTATTAAAGCACTCAAAATCATCTTGTAAATGCTTCTTATGACACCAGTTGAGATATTTGATTTACGTGTAACATGATTGATTCATGTACTTGCACTCTGGATGAACTATTTCAGGGAATACAAACCCAAAAACATTTGTGCCAGATAAGTTATTGCTTGATGAAATTGATTGAAAAATCCTTGTAAAGCCTGTCCCATTTGTTTAGTAATTGTCCCCGTGAAGATCAGGGTTATAATTTGTCCTCAGCAACCCATACTTGTCATAAAAAGTGACTAACAGGATCGGGTGGTCAGACTCGCTATCTTGGTGGACACGTCTTCATATTCCAGTTGTGTAGATCGATGCTCATGCTGTTGATCACTGGATTGTCTGGTCCAGACACAGTTGTTTACACACTGCTGCCATATAGCTGGAATATTGCCGAGTGTGGCATAAGACAACAAACCAAACCAAAATCTGTAGTAAATAGGCATTATAGGAAAGGTATGATACTTTATGAATAACAAAAACTTGGTAGGAATAGTCAGTGATGGTGAACAGTAAGAACCAATATCTTCATTGCCGAAAAATTCATGCTATGATGTTGAATATTAGAAGCAGTAGTACCTACCAGTTATGAATACTGTGAAAAATGTCTACATAATGGATCTACATTTATAGATTTGTCTGTAATAGTTTATTTGGGAAAGAAATATTGTAAACTTACGATAGCTATAGCGATGAACCTCTTAAAGAAAATCATTTTCAATCTTATTACAGCATTTGCGTTAAAATACAGGTAATTAGCGAGACAATACATTCATTGTCACTGGAGCGTAATTAAGGATTTTCACCAGTCTATATATATTTGTGTAGTGATGGTGGTTTAACAGAATACTCTTGGTCACGTAACTGAAATATTTCATAATAGGTCTGTAAATATAAAAAGCTATGGCGATGCACCATATCTGCCAAAACTTAGATTTTTCTAATTTGCCAAGGACTTTCAATTAGTGGTGTGTCACCTTATATAGATCCATACTATCATTACCCTGGAAAATGCTTGTGTATTTACAGTATGCCGTGATGAAGCTGGGAATTTGCTGACTACGACACTGACATAGTGGTACTTGGTTACACAACCTTTATTCAAGAGATTTTGTTTTGCTTTAATATTTACAACTCGTTTTCATTGATAAGATTAGTGTGTAAAATGATACGTCAACAGTGCAATGTCAGTATCAGATTGGGGCTAGAAGTGTGATTGTCATGGCCAGTGAAGAACTTGCTCATTTAGCATCAGTAACAAACCTTACAACTGGGGTCGGATGACTTCCTGTTTGGACCAATGGGTGGTTAGCCTTTTCATCATATGTAAGTTTAACTTAAACAGGTAAAGGTTTGAGAAATATGTAAATTGATCAGTAACAGACCTACTGCCTTCAACTAGAGGTTAAAGGTGTTTCTTTAGCTTTGCAGAATTACTTCCCTTATCTGCACCAGGATCTGATGGTAGTTATTTTTTACAAGACATATCCTAAAACTGTCAGTCCAAATGAAACACATTGGGTTAACCTAGTGGTTAAGGCTTTCCTTCTCACGCTGAAGACTCGGGTTCGATTCCCCACATGGGTGCAATGTGTGAAGCCAATTTCTTGTGTCCACCTGCCGTGATATTGCTGGAATATTGCTAAAGGCGGCATAAAACCGTACGCACTTGCTCACTCCCAAATGAAACGCAATAGGTTCACTGATACGTTGATTCTGCAATCGAATTTTGGGGGGTATTTTTTTTAAAAAAATTAAATTGCCTTCCCTAGTTTGACACTACTCCTGATAGTTGCTGTGGAGCATGAGAGAAATGAAAATATCATGATTGTCTTCAAATTGCATGACAATCTGGTATGCATAAAGGTTTTCATAATTAACATATTACTCAATTTTTTATATGGATAATCAAATGTCATTCCATTTAAGTATATACCTGACATGATATGGATCAGTTATGTGTATTGTGGAATAATAAATGTCCCTATTTAAAGTGGAGTAGTATACCTTTCCGTTTGAATGCAGGTTAGTGGGAGTCAAGCATTAGAAATTAAACTTGTGAAATGTTATGTACATTAAGTTATTGCATCATACCATTTCGTTTGTCTGTGTTTATTGAAACAGTTTTGCATAATTAACATGGAATGCCGACAGATACATTCATCAATCTGTTCTGGATCAACTTTCAAAGGTGTTAATTTTGAAAAATTCTGCTTTTTGAAAATAATTGATTCATATTTTGTCTTGGTCAATTTTTGTTGTTTTCAGACAAATGTGTATTCTTTCAGAGGAGCCGAACCCTAAGATTCACTGTAAAAAGTATCAAATTAATTTAAAGTATTATTTCGACATTTTATGCTTCATTTGTTTGAGAATGTGCAAAACAACTCTTGATTTAACAAAGAAAATCTGCTGACCTTGAAGATAATGATGATACTATCAATTTCCTTCCTCAGTGTCAAGATATGCAGAGTACATGAGGCATTGTTGTATGTAGTATGAAGATAAGTAAATACAAGATCGACATGGTGTTAAGATTTGGTAGATCAACAGTGGACATCTATATTTCCTTGCTGGTGACGGCACTCCCCTCTTCTGCTCTACGAATGACAAGGAGGGCATTATGCTGTGCATTATCTCAGCGTAATCATGTCAAAGTTAGTCTAGGTGTTAACTCCTGTGTTGTTCATTCATGAATTGAATGCAGAATGTGTGAGTCTGACTAGATGATACTCTAGGGTGATTCTATCTTTTAATAAATAACGTGAAACCAAACCTTCAGGATACTCGAAAGCCTTTTATCAATTTATTTGAACTGTTTAAAACCTATTGCGGTTTGTTTTGTGTGTGCAGAGTTGCTTCCCTTAGCCGTGCCATGATCTGCTGCACATTGATTCTGATTCCAGATTTGCCATGATTATGAACCTTGGTACCATATCTGGGTTGCACCAAAATGATTGACTGAGCTTTATCATTTAATGCTTCCCACCTGTAACGTTAATGTTCTGTGATATAACTGCTAACTGAAATACTGTTTATGGTATCAGTTGTCTTGATCCTTGACAGTTTTAATTGATCAATGTAACCCCCTCAGACCACCGATTGGCTGATAGCAGCATCTGGCTGTGTCATCGATTTGACCTGTGAAGGGACTAGCACCAAGATAGAATTACCTTGGAGTATAAAGGTTTGATTCTGATGTGTGCATGGATATTACAGAAGAATGTTCCTGCAGTTGAAAGAATGAGTTACTGTACAATAACAAACTAAGTCATATTTCTCTGTACAATGCTGCAATTACAACCATCTCTGACATTGCAGCCCTGGTTAACAACTGCATTTGCTAGCCGATAGTTGACTATGTTCACATCATACATTTGTTTTTGTCATAGAGTGTGAAGAAATTGAGTTGCATTTTTATGCTCAAAATCTCCTGTGCTGGTGTTTCGTTGAGGATTTTTTTAATCAAATGACACAGCCAAGAAGAGAGCGATTACCCAGACATAGATGTTGATAGTTGGTAGATGGAATATGAGTATATGAAAGTCTGCAAACATAGATTCCATGTACTCGTGGCAGTATTTGAGGAAAATATACACTTTTGAATGAGCTTGATATGTCTTGTTGGATTGAGTTGTGTGTAATGTTACAAGACATTAATGAAACCTAATACATAGATATTAATTTTCTGAAATAAACATGTTAAATAGGAGACAAAACAATATATGCTGACCAATTTGGGAGACATACTTTTTGATAAACAAAATGATAAAAAAACAGCATAATTTATTTTAAAAAATGAAAGGTTCTGCAAATTCTGATGTCCCAGATTTTTCCAGCAGATATTTTCCAGATTTTCAACAGTATCCTCCCAAGTTTGATGTATCATTTTAAATGAGTATTGTTTGAACAATGGAAATACACAGATAATTAAGTTATTAAATATTAATCTTGAATTTAAACATTCTGCTTATGTTAACTACCTGTAGTAGTGGGTGGTGTCGAAGGTATTGTCACAATTTGACATACACACTTAGAAGTGACAGCTCCTAAGTTGTGATGCAATCTTTGAAAGTTAAGTCTGTATACAAGAACATCTCAGTTTCATGGGGTTTTCATAATGATTCATTAAAACATGCATTGTTGCAAAATTGAAATTAAGTATAGATTTGTTAATTTGGTAAATTTTGGAAACAAGTTTTAGCCTGGAATAGTCAAGCTAGATTTGCATCACAACTTATAAGTATTGGTAGCAAATATGACTTGTGAAAAAATTGTATATTTCTTTGCAATATGATAGTTCAAATTTCACTGGTATATTTGCTATGGGCTTGTATGAAAAGGTCATCAATGCTTTGAGAAGAGCGTGGGCAGGCGTTGGTTGGTTTTGGGATACATGCCTGTTACTGTCTATGTGTGTCAATGTCAGATACTGATAGACACCGCTGTATGATATGAAAGATAGCCATGTGCAGCTAGTGGTAAACAGGTTCTCACCACTACTACTGCTGCACATACAGTTGTTGCCCGAAACAGTGCTGTTTGAGAATGTTTCTGTGTGCTATATGTGAATAAATTCATCTTTTTTATGCATTCCTATATATAAGTTGTGTTTTGTTTAGAGATCAAGTCCCACTGGCAATCCGTGTCAATTTCCTGGTGTAATACGGATCGGTCCCCATGGTGATGGAATGTTTCCTTAGCCAATTTGCTGGTTTGAGAAGCCACTTGTTTTACTTAGTGGCAGAGAAATAAAATTGAATTAATATTTCACTAAGCTGGAACTTAAATCTATCTGAGTATTACTTAATTTGGCATCCGTGAAGTCAAATACAACATACGTTATATTTGGGAATACAATCTGGTGAAGTGAAGATTCTTGTACCTTTTAGGGCCGAGTCCCGTGCAAGGAGTCACTTGCAAATTTTCACTTGTCAGAATAGGACAACAACGACGTAATTTAGACTACCAGTTGTCAGACTTCCATTTTTGTTGAATCTGAGTGGATAAAACGTCTTGTCCAGACTCTATTATTAACAGCCTACTGGAAATTTGACTCATGCGTTAAACAGCAAACATTTAGGTATTGTGTTATAACAGACGTTGTGTTCAAAGTTTTGACTGCCAAGTAACTACCATTATTGCTTTTGCAAAACTGTTAATGTTTCAAGGATAATTTTAAGGTTTGAGCAGAGGATGCAGATTAAGTAATTATTGCATACCAGATAGAATTACTCGGTGATGTCAGCCAAGTCACTTATGTGAAACTATCTGTAAGGAAGTTTCCTGTTCACACGATACTGCCCCAACTGAACATAACCAGAGGCCTTTTGTCAAGTTAGAAGCCGAACATTGTAACACAGGAAGGGAACTGGGTCCATCTTTTAAACAGTTAAAACGGAAGAGCAAACAGTTGGACCATTTGGCCTTGCTTCAAACCCCACAGGGGTAGAGTATATACAGCATGCAGGTGGCACAAGAATTCAGCTTCTGTTGAAGGAGGTTACACTTGTGTTTCCTTGACAACCCAATGGGCTACAGGATGGACACATGACATACTGTTCAGTCAGACACACACTTGCGGATTGGCAATCCCAGATGAAGATCTTGCCCATGGAATGAGACATCCAAGTTGATAAACTGCATGTGGGTTATGAAACACCTCAACCAATGCCCCTACAGAACATGCTTTCCGAGATTGTTACCACGCCTAATGGACGAACGTCACAAGATATGGGAGCGTTGCGATCTTTAGCCTCAACAAAATCCTCCATTCACGCCTGGAAATTACCTTGACAAAAATTAAGAATATGGGTACCCGGAGACAAGCACACAATTGGGTTGGTGGCTCATAGAGACATGCGTCAAAAGCCTCCCATAACGACAGATGTCTGTCAAAGGAGGGAATGGTCTCCTTAATCCTAAGTCAGCACTACAGGTACAGCGGCACATCCGAAATGGGCTTGTAACATATGTGGGATTCAAACACCGCCCCGAAAGGTGAAGGAGAAGAGGTTTACAAGACGTGATGTGTGCAGTTGCTAACGTGTTGAAAAAAGAAATTCAGACATGGCACTGTGTAAGACTACAGATCAGCTCTGGCCTCAGTTCTACGGGTACTTTGCACTTAATCGTCTCACGAAGCCTTGTGGGAGACATAAAAATACCACAAACATTCCTCAAATTTGGAATTTATGGAAAATGGAATTTATCAGTTGTACCATCAACATTAATGGAACAATCATACGAACCCATGTCAAATGCTTCACGAGTACCACTGCGATAAGACAGTAATGGCCACTACAACCAGGAAGCACCTTTCAGGTACCAACCAAAAATCAGCCCTCGGCACTTAAGTTCTTGTGGACCAGAGAATGCTGGATCCCTTCCAAAGGTAGAATTATACATTATCCGGACAGGCTACCGTGTCCAATCTGGACATTTTAGATACTGATACAACTTGATACCACAAAAAGCATAAAAACGACTTTTCATCTCAGCATAGGACATTATACCAAGGCCACTGCAGCAGTAATTGTTCAAAACCACCGTAGAAGAAAGCTATGGCCAAGCACAATTATCCACGGCAAATCAACGCTCCGAGCTACAAACCAGGATTCATGGAACCCAACATCTATCGAACGATAGTTTGAGAATTAGAGTGGATATGTACTTTCATGTGATCAGTAGTACATACAGTTTACCTATCGCAACCTTAGAATATGTTAGCCACATAGTAAAAACAGGAAGTCAGGACAAAACAAGAAGACCCAAAGGCTGTACCTCATACGCCACAAGTTCCTATCTACACAAGAAACCAGCATGTTTATAAGTTTCAGAAACAAGTGTCACAGAACGGCCCCGAAATTTGGAAACATGAATCAGTCACCTTACTAACCCCACCCCTTGTTATAAGGTGAAAATTGCATACGTTATACAAGAAACGTATCACAAATCTATTATTGAGACTTACTGAGAGTTGACAGTAATTTCCGATCACGAAGTACGACATGAGACCATGGAATGATGTAACTTTAAACGAATCGGAGGAATTGTATCTGGACATGTGACAAAGGTGGAACAGGCTCGAACATCTTAAAAAGAAACCGTCAGCACTAGAAAGTGGTGCGGGTTACAAAGTCAGCAGAACGTTCGCATCGCGATCGATCAGTTCCATATCTGGTGAAGAGCTTGCCCTATCCTGTCCAGACCACGTCACCTTGTAATGACGAGAGGGGTCGAGTAAACCTATGTGAGTATAGAACCTGGTGCTGAGTTCATTGAATGCCAGAGTGAGTGAGTGAGTATGGTTTTACGCCGCTTTTAGCAATATTCCAGCAATATCACGGCGGGGGACACCAGAAATGGGCTTCACACAATGTGCCCATGTGGGGATTCGGACCCGGGTCTTCGGCGTGACGAGCCAACGCTTTAACCACTAGGCTACCCCACCGCCCCCGAATGCCAGAGTGCCAGTACATGAATGAAATGTGGTTATTGAGGAGTAACAGTCGTCTGACCTCTCACTCCTAGATTTAACATTCCCCAACGACCAAGCGGGTGTGCTTGAGCTTACATCCGGACAATGCGGAACGGCCATCTTAATAGGTAACTGGTTATAGGGGTGTACTAACACCCAACGCCACATACGACAGTGCTGTCCAAAAATAATGGTCTACTTTTGAAGATATATGCTAGCTAGTTTTTAATCATTTTGTGATAATCTAGTAAATTTACTGTCCTTCGTTGACAGGGTTTTATATATTATATGTATGTATTATAAATTTAGAACTAGTTTTAGTCACGATATGGCTGAAATATTGCCGATGTGACTTTAAATTTTAACTCACTCACTCACCCCTCCATGAGAGACATAATTCTGATTTAAGATACAACTGACTGACTGAGTTTAGTTTTACGCCGCTTTTAGCAATATTCCAGCAATATCACGGCGGGGGACACCAGAAATGGGCTTAACACATTGTGCCCATGTGGTGAATCGAACCCGGATCCTCGGCGTGACGAGCCAACGCTTTAACCACTAGGCTACCCCACCGCCCCTTAAGATACAAACTCGGCACAAGCAGCTTTCCCCAAAATGGAACGAGGAAAGCCAGGTATATTCTTAGAAATCAAACGATATTCTTAGAAACAGATGACTAAAAAGGATACTTTACAAGTTGAGGAAACACGGGATAATTTTATGGATGGACTACTTTTTCTTCTGTAAAATTCGACAATAGATTCTAATGTCGATTGTCAATGTCGTTGTCAGTGAGTCACTTGCTTGACAGGGCGGTGGGGTAGCCTAGTGGTTAATGCGTTCGCTCGTCACGCCGAATTCGTGTCCGGAATGTAAGTTATGCTACTTAGATGTACCGATGTATATGATTGTGAACCAGCACAGGTAGTTCGGTCTGAAACTGAGAGTTCATAGCCACCTCCTGTAAACTGTACCCGAATAACTCATTATGGGCCCACAGACGGACTTGTGTTCTGAATAGAAGTCATATCCCCCAGAGCATCAAGAAGATGAGTCGGATATGAGGATCTAGAGTAACAACTAGTCTCTGAAATGAACATATTTTACTGAAAAAAGTTCATAGTAAAAAAATATAAAATATTATGAAAAGGAGCCCTGAGACTTTCTTCATTTTCAGAAGCTGAGGAAATCTAGACTTGCCACATTTTCTAGACTTGTGTGGGCTTTCTTGGAAATATTTGCTTCAGGATCTGTACGACAGACTGATGAGGATCTATCCAAAGGACCTATAGTTAGAAAAACATATGAAATAATACGAATAAAGAACATGCTTAATAGTAGATACTTTCCTAACGATTTTGTTTTATGCGGGGACACCAAATAACTTCACACATTGTGCCCAGGTGGGATTCAGACACCTCTTCTGTGTGACGAGCCAACGCTTTAACCACTAGGCTACCCCAGTATATAACGAGATAACGAGTGTTGCTCAGGCAACAGAACTCGAGACCAGCTCCTGCTGCAACAAAGCAAAACCATATACCTTTGAAGACCCGGGTTCGATTCCCCACATGGGTAGAATGTGTGAAGCCCATTTCTGGTGTCCCCTGCCGTGATATTGCTGGAATATTGCTAAAAGAGGCGTAATACAACCCTCACTCGCTCCCTCTGCCATAGCTTACAGTGTGTAAAACCCATTTCCGGTGCCCCCCGTCTTGATATTGCTGGAATATTTCTAAAAGCGGTTACAAAACCAGTCGATGGCGATAATCTAACTTCACATGTATTTCAACAACCAGTCCGTCCGTGCAGAACATACCAGCCCTCGTTAAGCCCTCTATGTATTTAGGTCATTAATTATTATTCATTTGACTTCTGAAACACACACACGCACGCACGACTGACAGTATGTGGTTTGCATTTATGAAGTTCTCAACTGAAAAAAATCACATTAGATTTTACGTTAAACAACATTTAAGTTAATTCCAAAAATTTGTACCAAAACGTCCATATACTCAACCTATGTTGATCATCAGTTCATAGTTCCTGCTAAAGCCAACTACTGTAATGCTACAGTGTTATGGTGCAACTTTAGGATGTACACCAATTTCACATG